TACCTGTAATCCCAACATTTAAAAGGCTGAGGCAGTTGGTGGTGGCTCATGCCTTTAATCACAACACTCCAACAATAGGAAGGCATAGGCAGGTGGATCTCTGTGAGTTCCAGGTCATCCTAGTCCACCTAAGGAGAATAACAAGTTCAAGGACAAATTTGCATACATAGTAAAACTGTCCAACAAATAAACATGGGTGGAGAGCAGTACTGATTGGCAAGGCCATGTGTGAATTGTATTACAAAAGCATAATGCCCAGCACAGAGTTAGTGCTCAATCAAAGCTTTGCTGCCTGGTCACTAGTTACTGCTACTGTTATTTAAGGGAAAGAAGGAAAGGGAAGGTGGGATGGCCAAGAAAATAAGCTGAATTGCACTGGAAACAGGAGCCAGCAGCTGGAGGGATGGGAAGGTAAGTCTGTTGTGTAGAGGTGGAGAGGACAGGGGAGAATGTCAGGCAGTGTGACAGTTTAGACTCTGCAGAGGACTAAGGACTGCAGAAAAGCTGCACACGTGCCTTCGGAAGGACTGTGCAGCAGCTAAGTCTGTGGCTTTGGAGTCAGGCTGCCCAGGTTTAAATTCAAATCCCAGTTCAGCCACTTACTAGCTTATGACCTTGGGCACATTATCTAACCTCTCTAAACCTCAGTTCCTTCATCTGCAAAGTAACGATGATAATAATAGTACTTACTTCAAATCGCGGTTGTGATGATTAAATTAGATAATCCAAGGAAAGAGCCCAATGCAGAGCTGGCACATTCCAAGGGCTCAATCAACAGTAGGTGATAGTGTTGGAATTATGGCAGTCTCTGTGTGTGTGGATTAGTACCTCCCTCTCTCTCTTACATGGGTAGTTCTGCCCCTCAGACACTTTTATTATCTTCTCTCATTCTCCCCCTGCTCAGTCCACTGTTTGCCTTTGCTCTTGGACATCCGTCACTGGCTCCCAAAGTCGGCCTTTCTCAAACCAGTACCCAGCTTCATTCTCTCTGGTCTCTGCTCTGGGTGAGATGGGAGCTATGAGACCCAGAGACAGAGGCCTTGTCCTAAAAAAAAAAAAAAAAAAAATGAGGTGTCCTGGCAGTGGGGGGATTCTTTGGCCTTCTCTGTGCTGTCGCACTTGGCCACCAGAGGGCAGCAAGTGCACGAAGCGTAGCTCAGCTCTGGGAACCTGGTGCCTGGGCAGGTGGAGAACCCAGGAGAGGAGGTGGGAAGAGGTTAAGAGGCGACGCCCGCCCTCTGAGGTCGCTTCTGCTCAGGCAGCCCCAGGCCTTACCAACCAGAGAAGTCGCTGAGAATCTTGGTACCCGGGCTTGGTTTCCCACCCATGTGAGCTAAGTGACTTGTTAAAGGCTGGGTCACAGGGACTGTGCGCCGAGAAAGCTGGGAAAGGGTTGTTTAGGAAAAGCTGTTAGCAGAGGAGAACGGAGCAGGGCGGAAGGGGTGAAAGAAAGGACAGATAGATGTCTGAGCTAGACAAATACGGTCATGCACAGGACCGGGACGGTCACTGGACCCAGGAAGGAACCCAAGTGCTGGTAGCCGAGGTCATCAGGTCAATGCCCCTGCCGCTTGGCCGAGAGGCCCCGAGCCGGAACAAGGCCTTTCCTGGTAGCAGTGTCTGGTCGCGGTCCCCAGCTTTCTCCGCGGGAGCCCCCAGGCTCGCCTCTCGCGTGCCCTGTCCCCGCCCCCGGTCCCGGCCCGCCCTCGGCCCCGCCTCCGGGGCGGGCTCTGGACCGACCGGCGCCGCCTCCCCTCCTCCCAACCAGCCGGGCCTCACAGCCCCGAGCCGCCCGGGCAACGAGCGCCGCGTCCCCGGCCCGCCCGGCCGGCCAGGCTCGGCCCCCGCCTGGGTTGCCACCCCGGGCCATGGAGTCGCGGCCGCCAGGGCCCCGCAGGGTAAGCCACCCGGTCCCTCCCTCCCCGCCCCCGCGGCTGCCGCAGCGCCCCCCCACCCCATCCCCGCCCGCCCTGCGGGGCCGGCCACCTCTTCTCTCGCCCAGTCCTCGGCTGTCGCCCATCCCCCACGCGGCGCGGCCCTCACCGATCTCTGAAGCCCAACTGGCGCCCCCGACTACTGCCACCTTGCTGGATACGCTAGCCTCTGCCTCCCAGGTTCTCGGGATCCCCCAAATCTCAGACTTGCCATCGGTCTCAGATCACTACGCTGCCCCAGACCTCTCTTCTCCAGCCTCGCCCTCTCCCAGCAGCCCTTACCCACCTGCTCTTTGGACACCCTCGCCTCCCTCTTTCCCGTGCCAGTCCTGTCTGCTCAGGTCTTCCCACCCCTGCCATTCCATCCATTTATTTCCCTTGTCGCCTTATTTTGAGGGGTGGGTGGGGTAGGGAAGTGGGTGGTTGAACAAGGGGTAGTGGGTTCCACACGATAAAGAACGGGGAGAGGAAATCTAACCATAGCAGACCCCCCTCCTGCTCTTGGTCTGGTTTCGCTCCTTCCTTGCTTGCCCTTCCCTCCTTGCCCGATTTCGTTTTGCCCCAGCTTCAGGGAGCCATCCCCCTTCACCACTGTTGGAGGGCGGGTTGGAGAGGACCTCTTTGGAGAGTTTACCAGGCTGTGTCTAGGGTCTCTATGAAACGGGCCTTGGGAAATGCTGGCCTCCACCTTTCCCTAGGGAGCATTCATCTAGGTCACCGGGGCCTCCTGACCTTGGTATACAGGAGCACCTCAGTGGCTCACATTCCACTTACTTGGGGACTGGGCCCTGAGCCCTCACCTTCAGCTAGCAGTCTCCTCAGTCCCTAGATGAGAGGGTGGGGCAGGTTGGCCAGCTCAATTCCTTGTTCCCCTCCCCAAGCTTTTCACCCCTGAAGAGGGACCTGGCTGGAACCTAGACTGTTGGGGGATAGAGACTGGGAGAGTCCAAAACTCAATCCTTGTGGTCCTGGACCCTCGGACCTTCCTGGGAACTGACTGGAGTGATGGTACAGACTGCTCTCGCCTCTCCATCCTATTCTCTCTGTACTGTTTTCATACGACTTAGGTTTCCTGGGCCAGATTAGGTTTCTGTTTGGGCAGAATTCCCATTCCCCACCCAGCATGTGAGGAAGCCCAGGGCTCATGAGAACCCTGGGACAGAGTTGGGTGGGGGTGTCTCTGAAAAGGAAGGACTGAGGCGTGGAGACTAGAAGCTGAGAGCAGCAATCTGTCTCCCCTCTCTGATTAAAGCCTGCCCCCAACTTAGTCTGTCTTCCTTTCTGCCAAACATATCATACATTTGTACAGATAAACACACAGCTGAAGATTACACAACCTGACCATTCACAGTGTCAGCAAAGCCCCCAATGCATAAATATTGATCTTCAAGTGATACACACAGTAAATGGCAACTCATTTCACACTCCACCCGTGCACAAACTGATCGGAGCCTGTCTAGGGCTCATGAGTGTACACACACTCTTCTGCTCTTTGACTTTTCCCTGTACGTGACTGGGGCTTTCAAGAAGTTTGTGGAAGGTGAAGATGATCACTAAGAGGGGCTGCTTATGGTCAAGAGCAGGCCAAGAGACTGACAGTTGTCACACTGGTTATCTGGAGTGATGGCTCACTCAGTTATGGCTCCAGCATCCACTATTACCAAAATGGGACAGACACAGGTCAGCACTCAGTTCACTGGAACCCTGAAGCCCCCTTCCTGATAATAATTCCAAGCACCTGAAGAGACTACTGGGGGAGGCAGAGGGAAGATTCCTATTCTATCCCTCCTATTGTCTCATGGAAAACCCTAAAACCTGAGCACAGAGAAAGACTCCAGTGAGTTGATAAGGACCCCCTTATCACCAGGAACTGTCTTAACGCCCACCCCTTGGGTTTCGGTCCTAAGTTGTTCTGAGAGGTCCCAGCTATTTCTAGTCTCTTCAACCCTGGCTGCATCCCTGTCTCTTCCCTCCCTGGCTACCAGGGTGAAGGGCGAGGACTGCTCAGAGAGGTGGCTCTGTGCTTCTAGGCCCCTGGCTGTATCCCTTGATAGCAGAAGGCTTCAGGGAAGCTCCTGTCCTCCCCCAACCACACACCTCACGTGAACTCTTGACCAGAGACTGCAAGGACATTTGCTGACCCAGGGTGAGCAGAGAGGGTTCTCATACCTACAAACCCATCAGCTCTTCTCTGAAGCCCTGCTGATGCTGATGGGGAGAGAGGTTCAAAGGTCCTAGGCACACTCGGACCCAAGCTCTTCCCATTTTCCTCTTCCCTGTTCTTCAATGGAACCACCAGTTCTCTCCCAAGTTCTTGTATGCCTGTTAGAAGCTGCTGACTTAAAGAGATTCAGAACCTCCAGGTAGTGGTGGTGGTGCCATTACACGCCCTTAATCCAAGCACTCAGAGGCAGGCGGATCTCTGTGAGTTGGAGGTCAGTCTGGTTTACAGAGAGAATTTCAGGATATCCAGGGCTACAGAAACCCTATCTTGAAAAAAACAAACCAACCAAAAAAAAAAAAAAAAAGGTGTTGGGGATATCCAGAACCTAAGTGTGTTCGGGTGCAGTGGAGCCCAGAGACAGGATGCTGGAAACATCTGTCTCCTGGGACCAAAAGCTGAACTTGGCAGACAGTTGTACACCAGGGTGGGGCCAAAAGGACTTGGGAGCCCCAGAACCTCTGATGCTTTGGGACTGTCTGTTAGCGGAGATAGGTCAAGGTAACAGACAGAACTGAACCCTCTTGGTGTGTCGAACCAGAGTAATAGTCCAGATCCAACTGCCAGATCTGCTGTTAATTCATGGTCTAGCCTTGGACAGACCACTTTTACTTCCTGTGAAATGTGAGCAATGGGGCCAGTGAGCTCTTCAGTTCCTTTCCAGGACCATGAAGATTGGTCTGGAGAGAACCAGAAAGCTGAGGCTCAAAGCACTTAAGCGTGTTGAAGCCTCCTGAGGCAGGGGGCTTAAGAACCTTGGCTCACCTCAGCTCAGCTGCTGTGGGGAAGTGGGGTGATAAGTGAGTCTGTGCAGGTTCCTGGCTCACTCTACCTAACACCCACAGATGGACCCTGTACAGAAGGCTGTGCTCTCACACACATTTGGAGGACCCTTGCTGAAGACCAAGCGGCCAGTCATTTCCTGTAATGTCTGTCAGATACGATTCAATTCTCAGGTAAGAAGGGCAGCCGCTACCTACCGGTGAGTAGGGTGGGGTGGGGCACCGGTGGGAGCTTGAGGGAGGGCCAGTGAGGGTGTTGAGAAAGAACAAAGAGTAGGAACCCTGCAATGGGGAGGGAGTTAGTGGAAGACACTTGAGACAAGTGGTCTCTGTGTAGTTGCTTGTGTGTGGTAGAGATTTAGGGCCTTGCACACAGTAGGCAAGTGCTATGCCTCCGGGCTATGTCTTCAACCCTTTTTCTTTCTTTTTCTTTAGATACAAGGTTCCTTTGTGCAGTCTTGGAACTCATTCTGTAGACCAGGCTAGCCTCAAACTCACAGAGATCTGCCTGTCTCTGCCTCCCAAGTACTGGGATTAAAGGTGTCTGCCACCAACACTCAACTTTTTTTTTTTTTTTTTTTTTTTTTTTGAGATAGGGTCTCTCTACATACTCATTAGCTGTCCCAGAACTCATTAGCATGTGCCACCACACCCAGACAAGCTTCTGGCACATACGTGTGTGTGTGTGTGTGTGTGTGTGTGTGTGTGTGTGTGTGTGTGTGTGTGTGTTCGAGACAGGGTTTCTCTGTGTAACTTTGGAGCCTGTCCTGGAACTAGCTCTGTAGATCAGGCTGGCCTCAAACTCACAGAGATCCACCTGCCTCTGCCTCCTGAATGCTGGGATAAAAGGTGTGTGCCACTAATTCCGAGCTCTTTTTATATTTTTTATTTTGAGACATGGTCTCAGAAGTTTCCTAGACTAACCTCTAGCTTACTCTGGCCTGGGCAGGCCTTGAACTTTCAACCCTCCTGGCTCAGCCTCATAAGTGGCAATGGCTACAAACCTATGCCACCATACCTGGATATCACTATGTGTTCTGGCAGAAAGTAGACAAATTCTCTAAGGCCACCTGGCCCCTTTGTCCCTTGGAGCTGGAGCATTCCCTGCTCAGAGTCCCTGGAAAGACAAGAATCAGGGAAGGTGTGTGGCCTCTAGCCTTCTATCCTTAGGTGCTGAGCTCGGTCTCTTTGGCTCTCCACAGAGCCTAGGTCCCCTTTGGCATCTACTAAACCACCCTTCCCACTTCCCCCCAACCTCCCACTTACCTCCTTTCTCTACTCCCTTTCTAACCTCCCTCCAAATCACATTGAGGAGAATCCCCCCAGATTCCCTCCCTCTAAAGCCCCATCAGGACTTCTATTTAGTCCAGACTTTGTAGGGTACAGGTCCTAAAAGCTTTAGTAGAAAAACAGCAGATCCTTATTCTGCTGAGCAGGGGAAAAGAAAACATATGTGTCTCTACACAGCACATGTACACACATGCACAGGCTGGTGCATACTGCTGGGCCCTGTACACCAAGGCTCTACTATCAATTTTGTTTTCTTGCCCATCCACATCTTTATTTCTACCCCTGTTTAGGTGACCTTTTGACCCCAGCATTATACATTCCTAGCTTTGTACAAATGGGAGAGGAGGCGATGGACAGGCAGTGGGTAGATGAAGCAAACTAGAATCAGGCCTCATTGCTTGGACTCCAGGCACCCTCTCCTCCACTCTGACTCTATTTGCTGCTAGAGGGAGCAAGATTGGAGGGATAGAAAGCCAATAACAGGCAGCTCTCTCTTCTTTTTACACTCCCCCCTTTTTACCTCCCCCATAAAGTGTCTCTGTTTTGACAGCTGTCTCTGCTTCTGTCTCCTGTCTCCAGAGCTGGGCTTGAGTCCAGGGTCCTCTGAGGTGTCCACAGAGGCTCCAGGGAAAATGAGGCCTAGAAGGAGTATCAGGACAGAGCTAGTGAAAACAGCAGAGCAGGATCCTGGGCAGAAGAACTCAGGCTCCTAGGCCGGTGTCTGAGATGCCTACTAGTTATGTGTTCCACCTCCCCCAATTTTCAGCATTCTCTTGAAGGCTTGAGGATCCCCTCCCTCTACTCAGGACTAGTCATTAGCCAAGTCTTGGGTGTGGTGATGGAGTGTAGTCTGGACTAGGTCAGGATCCAGATTCCCAGGGACTCCAGCTTGAGAAGCTCATCACAGCCATAACTAGCCGTGTCAGCATGGGCTCTACACAGCGGGATACAGGCAGAGCATACTACAGCCTGCTGAGCCCACCCTGAGACCTGGAGGAGCTCTGTAGGATGTAGTAGATGAAAGGTGATCTCAGACTGTGTTCTTCCTCCATCCTTGAAGAGCCAGGCAGAGGCACACTACAAGGGTAATCGCCATGCCCGAAGAGTCAAAGGCATCGAGGCTGCCAAGACCCGAGGCAGGGAGCCTAGTGTCCGGGAATCAGCAGACCCAGCTCCAGCAGGCAGCACCCCCCCAAGTGGGGATGGTGTAGCCCCTCGTCCAGGTGTGTCTGAATCCCCTTCACACTTCTCAACTGACCTCTGTCTTTCTGTTCTTTCCCAATCCCAGAACTCCCCATCTGCTCCTCTCCCCGCTCAATCCCCACTCCCACTGACACTGAAGGTGAGTCCTGGAGCCAGGCATAGTGATGTCAAAATTCCATCCTGTCACCCCACCCACCCCTGCATCAGCTCTTTTCAACAGAGTCCCTACTGTCTGTCCTCTCCACTGCCCAGTGACTCAGCTAGGGGCTAGGGTGAGGCTGCCTGGTAAGCCTCCCCAGGAACAGGGAGGCACCCATCTGATCCATATGAAGCCCCTCTATGCCAGCCAAAGGGACTAGGGACATCAGAGCCCTACCAGCTTCCCTGGAAACTGAGGCCATGTGCTATAAGAATCCCTAAATGATCTTGGATGGACGAGTGGACTCCTTGGAGCCAAGTTAAGAAAGAAAAACTTGAAAATCTTTAGGGTCTTTTTCGGCTACCAAGAGTGACTCCACATTTCTTTGCTCCTCATGACTGCTGGCCATCCTTGACCATACTTCTAAGGAACTGGGACTGAGGGAATACAGGGACAGAAAGATATCAGTTATGGCCAACTCCAACTCCAGAGAGACCTAACATTCCCCTTGTCCTCATTTCCTCTTATTTTGGCCTGTCCTTCTTGCCCCACCCTAAAAATAATGAGAAACAGGCCTCTATAACACCAGTTTAGGATTCAGGTCTCCACTGTGGATATAGACACCACACACACACACACACACAAACACACCTACCTCTGGCATTCAAAGATGTAGGGGCCAGGCCTGATTTGTAACTGTGCTCTGGCTGCTTCTGAGTCTGATCATCTTGACTTAGTGTATTAACACCTCTATAGAGTAAGGGTGAGTAGAGCTGGTGATGGTGACAGTTAACACTTCTTGCCTACTGCTGTTGTAGATGCCTTACACCCATCAACACCTCATTTAGTCCCTGCACACTTTCTGAGGACACGGGGTAGATATTGTACACACACTGCTTTTTATAAACCATGACATCCTGTCCAGTTTGGGATGAAGATGTGCTGTCTGGTTTGGAATGAGGATGGAGGATGTCATGAATGAATAGGAGACACACAGGATGGATCCTAGGATGGACAAGCACACCCACAGGGATTAGGAATTCTTCCATCTTCTCCTACTCCCACCACAACCCTCCCCATGACCCGGAAACTGGATCAGCTGTTGGAGCAAGAGTGGGAGTGCTAGAGTTTCCCCTGCAGAAGCAAGAACCCTGTGCAGAGGCCTGGGGCCTGTGCATCTTTAATGGAGCCATGAATTATAGAGCAGCCTGGATCCCTGCTTCCTCCCTCTTCGGTTCTTGTTTCTGTTTCCCTCTGCTATGCTTACATCTGCCTCTCCTGACTTTTCCTCCTCCTGGTTCTGCACCCTCCTGTCGTTCCTTAGTGTCCTCCTTGAGGGCCTGGAGGGGTTTGTGAAGGGGTTGTCATGGCAGGAAGCCCAGGCTGGCCAGCAGGCCATGGTGGGATTAATCCTTGGTTTCTGCCTTTCCCCCTGGCTGGGCAGGCTGCCAGCTTTACCCTAAAGGTAGCCTGGTTACTCCTTGGCTATCCTCAGCTTTGGGGGAGTAAGCCAAGCATTGCAATCACACACCCAGCCAGTGGCAGCTGAATGGAATTTGGCTGTGGCCCAGGGCATGAGAACATGCATGTTGTAACAGGGCGGGGACTGGCTCCTGGGCCCTTACCCTTGAGGAAATGGGGGTGGGTCTGCCCATGAAGAGCCATTTGGGATGACCCCATGTTTCTTCCCCAACAGTTTCCATGGAGAATGGCCTGGGTCCAGCTCCAGGATCCCCAGAGAAACAGCCTGGCTCCCCATCCCCTCCCAGTGTTCCAGAGTCTGGACAGGGTATAACCAAGGGTGAAGGGGGAACTTCAGCCCCAGCTTCCCTGCCTGGGGGTAGCAAGGAAGAGGAGGAGAAGGCTAAGCGCCTGCTCTACTGTGCACTGTGCAAGGTGGCTGTGAACTCCCTGTCCCAGCTTGAGGCACATAACAAAGGTATGGATCCTCTGTTAGCAACCAGTCTCCTGTCCTCAGCTCACTCCCACCCCCACTCTGCATCCTATTTCCCCTGCCTTCTAGCACAGTTGGGTCCTCTAAGACCTACCTGCCTGCCTCCTTTCCCAGCCATCTCCTCTATTCCTTTGTGTCTTACTTCCTCACTCACCTTCCCTTTCCCCCAGACCCCTTTGTTTTTGGGAAGTGTTCAAAGGGCTCCAAAGAAATCCATAGTTACCATTCACACATTATAACTGGGAAGGTGGGCATTTGAGCCTGGAAGGCCTGTACAGTTTTTCATCTGCCCTCATCTCCTGCCTCCGTGGGCCAGGTACTAAGCACAAGACAATTTTGGAGGCCCGAAGCGGACTGGGACCCATCAAAGCTTACCCTCGGCTGGGGCCTCCCACTCCTGGGGAACCAGAGGCTCCTTCCCAGGACCGAACCTTCCACTGTGAGATTTGCAATGTCAAGGTCAATTCGGAGGTCCAGCTGAAGCAGGTGAGTCCTACGCCCATCCCAGGGTGTCTAAGGAATTTGACCCATTGAAGGGAAGGGAACTTAAGTAAACGCACTCAAAAGGAAGTATGGGTGGATGTTTAGCTGTGGTCCTGCCTCTGGGGGTTACTTTTTGCTAAAAGCTCACAGCCCTACTACCCACTGCACCGCAGCACATATCCAGTAGGAGGCACCGAGATGGCGTGGCCGGGAAGCCCAACCCTCTACTGAGCCGTCACAAGAAGCCTAGGGGCACTGCGGAGCTGGCGGTGAGGCCTGGATGCTGGGGAATTGGGCTATGGGAGGACTCAGGAGAATTGGAAAGGGATCTGGACAAGCCGGCAGAAGTCGGGCTTGCCGGACCACTGGCCCGATCTCTGTGTCCCTCTCTCTCTGCCTGCTGCAGGGCACACTGACTTTCTCCAAGGAGCTGCCCAAGTCCCTGGCAGGTGGCCTGCTCCCCAGCCCCCTGGCGGTAGCTGCGGTGATGGCCGCTGCAGCAGGCTCCCCGCTGTCCCTGCGCCCAGCTCCAGCCGCACCTCTTCTGCAGGGACCACCGATCACACATCCTCTACTCCACCCGGCCCCAGGACCCATCCGAACTGCGCACGGACCCATCCTCTTCTCCCCCTACTGACCTCAACCCTGAACCCCCTCCCATTGAATCCCCCACCTCCAGCCGGGACCCAGGCCTCCGGGCTCCCAGCCCGCCCCTCCTCCCGGCGCTCCCTGAATGGTCTCTCCTTCCCCCCGCCCCGAGGTACGGGGTTCCAGGAAAGGGGAGGGGTAGCGGGGGAGGGGGGGCTTAAGAAGGGGGGGAACACCCCAGATCTCAGGGAACCCCGCCCCCTGTCCTTCCCTCTCCCCTAGAAGAGAGGGGGGCCGTCTCACCCCCCGAGCCCCCTCGGAGACACCCCCTCCCAAAAGCCATGTCCATCCAACCCTTCCCCTCCAAACCTAGCACAAAACGGGGTTCACAAGCCATGGTCGGGGCCCGGGGGGAGAACATGGATTTTCTTGGCAATAAGCGGACTCTGGGACTCCGGCCCCCCTACCCCAAACTAAAGCGCTTCCGTGAACAAACCCGTCCTCCGCAGGGGGAGGGGAGCAGGCGGGATCCTGGGTCCCTCGTAAGCACTTTGGTTTTACCGCCTGCAACCTCACTGTGCCCGCCCCGCACCATGCCCCACCCCCAGGTCCAGTCGGACCCATCACAGGGGGCAGCACTCGGGGGCATCTCAAGCACTTGGGTGGGACCAAGGAGATGCCCTCATAGACCCTTCCCTTGCCTTCTTCCTCCCCGGTCCGGGTTCCATTCTTTTCACCAGCACCCATCGCCCAAGGGGTACCAAGGGGGGCAAGGGGTGTCCAGTCCAAGTCCACCCCCGCCTCGCCTTCCGCAAAACTGTGAGCAAAAAGCAATAGAAGCCTCGCCCCCGCCCCTCCCCTTTCCGCAGGATTTGCCGTCTGTAGCCTCCCCATCCCAATCCCTAGACCTCATGGCTGCCCCCTCCCGTGACACCTCCACTGCACAACTCGGGCGGGGGCGTGACCCCCAACCTGTCCCTTCTGTGGTTTCTGTATGGTCAGCCCTTCCAGCGCCGACCCGGGATGGGGACCGGCCCCACTGGCCCTCCCCTCCCCATGGACTCTTTCTGCTTGACAATGTAGCAACCCCGGCCCCCTACCTTCGCCCTCCCCTTTTCCCTTTCCTTGACAATAAAGTCTGGATTCGTTCTGCCCTCCGCGCCCAAGACTCAAACTGTCTTTGCTTGCTGTTTGGTGTGCAATTCGCTTGGAAGTTGTGTCTTATGGTGAGAAAGCCCAACACCCAAGAAGAGGAACGGGAAAAACGAGATGGGAAGAGGTTGTGTAAAGCCAGCAGGGAGAGCCTAGGAGTCTCAGTCCGCACCTAGCTTATGTAAACTTTAGATAAACTTTAGAGAGGGAATCCTATTGGAGTTCGTCTCGGGGACTGCAGCTGAGGCCCTTGAGAATTCGCTACAATTCCACTAGGCGGCGCTAAAAACGAAGGAAAATGAGTCTTCGTTCCGTTAGTGTTTCTTGCAATTCTAAGGAAAAGGGAAAACCCAGACAAAGGAAAGATCCTAGGCTTTTGTGTCTATATTTGGGGACCCAAAACAAACAGAGGAATCAGGCATGAGCCTCATATAACTGACCCTTGCATCCGTCTTGTCCTGTATGAACCTCAGTTTTCTACCAGCAAACATGCTTGAGTTAAGGATCCTCGGGATCCGGTATCCAAGCGCACCGAGGCTATGTCATCTACAGATCTACTACAATAATCTCTCATCACACCCCAAGCGGCCTGTGTCTTGGGACACTTGGTGTCTCTCAGGGTGCCTCTTCAACTGCAGAATCCAGCCCAAACACATAATCCAAGAACTGTGAGTTCCCTCTCCACCTCATCATCTCATGCCATCCAGCTCTACTGGGTTGTGGACAAGAAAACAAAACAACAAAAACAAAAACAGACTCAAACCCAGAGTCTGCACTGGTCCCCTGACTGGTTGTCTTTCTCACTTCTTTCCCAACTTTCCAGTCTTGCAGAAGACAGAAGCAGGGAGGGTAGGATGTTGATTGAAAGAGGAAGGAGGGGGAATAGGGCCCCCTGGGTTTATCAACTGAAGTGGGGCCCCAGCCCAGCAAGTAGTTTTTTTACTTCACAGTTCAAAAAGGGCAGAGACTAGGGCTACAGAGATGGCTCACTAGCTGCTCTCCCAGATGACCTGTGTTCAATTCTCAGCTCCCACAAGGCAATTGAATAACTCCATTCCCAGGATACCTGAAGCCCTCTTCTGGCCTTCCTGGGCACCAGGCATACACATGGCACACAGGCATGCATGCAAACAAAACACCCATACACAGAAATAAATGAGTTTTATTAAAGATAGAGATGAGAGGATCTAAAGGATGAGGGCAAAAGTGGTCCTTTAGAGAAAGGAGGAATGAGGGGGGCCGGTGAGTAAGGAGGCTGCTATCAACACTAAGAACTTCAGTCCTTGGTCTGAGGACCCAGCTCCCTCAAGTTGTTCATCTGCACCGTGGCATGTGCATTCCTCATTCCCCTGACACACACACACACACACACACACACACACACACACACACACACTAAATAAATAAATAAATAAATAAATAAATAAATAAATATAAAAAATGTGCAGAGAACAATGGCCAGGCCTGATGTGGGGAGGATGGCCGGGAGAGACTAGAAGAAATGAGTTGGAGAGGTTGGGAAACTGATATTCCCCAAACGATGTTTCAACGTGGAATATATCATTCACTCCTCTCCCTAAGCTTGTTCCTCCTCCTATGTTCCTTATCTCTCCTTTTGGAATCCTAGGTATTCTATCTTCTGTCTGACTGATTAGCAGCCCCATCAACCCACCACAAAACAGGGAGTCATCATTTGTTTGTTTGTTTTTGAAACAGAGTCACACTTTGTTCTCAAACTGACCTCAAAATGCCAGGAAGCCCACTGCTTCTGACGCCCAAGAGCTGGGATTGCAAGCAGAGGTCAACAACCTGGTATCACTCAAGCATCTATGGTTTTATTTTTAGCATGGCTTTATGAGACAGGGTTTTCTTATGTAGCCCTGGTTATTCTGAAACTCACTACATAGACCAGGCTATCCTCAAACTAAGAGGTTCACCTGCCTCTGCCTCCCAAGTGCTGTGCCTTGATTAATTTATTTCTTTTAAGAGTCCCCTGAAGCACAGACCAGCCTCAATATGACTTTGTAGTTGAGGATGACCTTGAATTTCTGATCTTCCCACCTCCTGGGTGTTGGGATTATAGGTGTGTACCAGCATACGTGGTTTTCACAGTTCTGGGACTTGAACCCAGGACCTTGTACATTCTGGACAAGCATTCTACCACTGACTTACATCTTCAGCCAAATTTACTTTTTTGTTTGTTTATTTGTTTGTTTTGAGACAGTGTTTCTGTGTGTAACATCTGTGGCTTCCCTGGAACTTGCTCTGTGGACCAGGCTGGCCTTGAACTCATTGAGATCCACCTGCCTGTGACCCCCAAGTGCTGGGATTAAACATGTGTGTCACCACAGCCAGACAAATTTACTTTTTATTTTGAGATAAATTATCATTCACTAAAATTACCAAAGCTGACCAAGAACTCACTATGTAGTTCTGGTAAGTGTTAAGAACTATGATCTTGGCCAGGAGGTAGTGGTGCACACCTTTAGTCCCAGCACACAGGAGGCAGAGGCAGGCTGATCTCTGTGAGTTCAAGACCAGCCTTGTCTACAAGAGCTAGTTCCAGGACAGCCTCCAAAGCCACAAAGAAACCCTGTCTCAAAAAAAAAAAAAAAAAAAAAAAAGAAAGAAAGAAAAAAGAAAAGAAGAAGAAGAAGAACTGTGATCTTCTTGAGTAACTATCAGCCTGTACCACCAGTCCCTATTCCCACCTTTAATTCCAGCTCTTGGAAGGCAGAGGCAAGTAGATATTCATGAGTTCAAAGCCAGCCTGATCTACAAAGTGAGCTCTAGGTCAGCCAAGGCTACATAATGAGACCCTGCCTCAAAAAAAAAAAAGAAACTTTTTATTGCATTTATGTGTATTTATAGATGCACATGTTCCACAGAACTTGTCTGGGAGTCGGAGAACAATTTGCAGAAGTTGATTCTCTATTTCTGTCATGTAGGTCCTAGAATACAACTAAGGGCATGGCAAGTGCCTTTACAGGCTGGGTCATCTTGCCAGTCCCAAACCCGTACATTTTCATCTGACTCCACTTCTCAGATGTGCCGAAGTGTCATTGGGACCCTCTCATGTAAACCATCTCCAGGCACTGAAGAGAAGAAAGGAAGTGCTATTGCAAAACAAACCTAAGCTCTCTGGGTCTTAAGCTCAGTGGTTCTACCATTGCTTCTAAAACATGGCCTTGGTTTCTGACCTCTTCAGAAGTGGCCCAGTCAGGTGTGGTAGCTCATACCTATACTCACAGTGCTCAAGTGGCTGAGACAGGGGAATTTCTGTGAATTCTAGGGCAGACTGAGATATTGAGTCAGACCCTGTCTCAAACAAACAAAAACAGAAGTGGCCTGGAGGATCTGACTTTGTCTCCCTGCTCAACATTTCTCAGCAATGACCTTAGGGAGGTCTTCCCTCACAGACCGGAAGGAAACATGACTTGGGTTTCAGGAAAGATAAAGGGGAGAGTGAAACAACTCTGGAGTAAGCTGCCGGGGAATTTCAACAGAGAAGCTTGGACTTTAATAGCCAAGATAAAATTAGTAGACTGGCTGGAGGTGGGGAAGGAAGTGGCTAAGGTTGGGTAACTAGGGAGTTTCTTATTCTTTCCATCTAACATGGTAGGAGGCATTATATGTCCAGCTGGAAGCCAGGCTGTTCCCCAGAAAGGCCAAAGGCCTGGCTGCCCCAAGGAAGACCTGTTCTTTAGATGAGCTGGACTTTGTTTACTGAAGACAAGTGTGAAAACTGGTAACCTCAGGTAAGCATGTCAAATGTGTGTGTGTGTGTGTTACACAGTCTTACTTTCTTAGTCCTCTCATTTTCTAGGTAGTTACCATCAGAACATCTGGGGTCAGGAGAACAGTGGTATAGGTCTGAGGTCAGAGAATCCCCGTGAGTTAAGTCCAGACTGAGCTCTATAACAAGACACTAAAAAGAAACGTAAAAAAGAAACAAAGAAAGATGGAGGCTCTATTGTGCAGAAGTAGAAGAGGACAAGGGACTCCTGGTTGTCTTCAGGAACTGGGAAGGAATTACGGTAGAGGTTGCCAGGTTTATGGGGAGCATCCTACGCATATTGATGAAGGGGCCTGGGTTTTGGGGAACAGAGAAGAGACATTTGATAAGAACTTAGGAAAGAAATCTAAGAATGTGACAGGAAAGACCTAAGGAGGGGGCTGGGAACTTTGAGATGAAACGGTGCGAGTGGCTTTTCCAGAACTGTGAATAAAGTGAGTGCTAGGAGCAGAACAGATGTGAGGGGACAAAACTGTTCAAGTAAGGCAAGATGAAGAGAGAGTTCTCACTCCATCTCTCTCTTTCTCTTCAGTGTCTATCATGTGGAACACCTCGGATGTCAACTTCTCCTGTTACCATGAGTCCGTGTTGGGCTATCGTTACTTTGCAGTTGCCTTGGGCGTGGTAGTGACTGTGACAGGCACCGTGGGCAATGCGCTCACCCTGCTGGTATTGGCCATCCGTCCTAAGCTCCGAACCCGCTTCAACCTGCTCATTGCCAACCTCACCCTGGCTGATCTACTCTACTGCACGCTCCTGCAGCCTTTCTCCGTGGACACATACCTCCACCTCCATTGGCGCACCGGCGCCATCTTCTGCAGAATATTTGGCCTCCTCCTCTTTACTTCCAATTCTGTCTCCATTCTCACCCTCTGTCTCATTGCTCTAGGACGCTACCTCCTCATTGCCCACCCTAAGCTCTTTCCCCAGGTTTTCAGTGCCAAAGGGATCGTGCTGGCTCTGGTGGGAAGCTGGATTGTGGGGGTGGCAAGCTTTGCCCCACTCTGGCAAGTATTTGTGTTGGTGCCGGTGGTCTGCACCTGTAGCTTTGACCGCATTCGAGGCCGGCCTTACACCACCATTCTCATGGGCATCTTCTTTGTGCTTGGACTCAGCAGTGTGGGTGTCTTCTACTGCCTCATCCACCGCCAAGTGAAGCGTGCTGCTAGAGCACTAGACCAATACGGGCTGCAGCCGGCCAGCCATTCTCATCAGGTGGCTGGAACAAATGAGGCTATGCCTGGCCACTTCCAGGAGCTAGACAGCGGGCTTGCATCAAGAGGGCCCAGCGAGGAGATTTCATCTGAGCCAGTCAGTGCTTCGACCACGCAGACCGTGAAAGGTGACCCGTCAGAAACGCAGAACCAGGACACTAAAAAGTCAGCCCAGCATATTGCAGAGAGAGGCCTTCCTGAAGCACATCACAGGGGCCGGGAAGCTACAGGGGCGCGCAGAGCCCCGGATGCTCCATCGGAGTTCGGGAAGGTGACGCGCATGTGCTTCGCGGTGTTCCTCTGCTTCGTCCTCAGCTACATCCCCTTCATGCTGCTCAACATTTTGGACGCCAGGGGCCGCGCTCCGCGGGTAGTGCACATGGTGGCTGCCAACCTCACCTGGCTCAACAGCTGCATCAACCCGGTGCTCTACGCAGCCATGAACCGCCAGTTCCGCAGCGCATATGGCTTCATCTTGAAACGCGGTCCACAGAGTTTCCGTCGGTTCCATTAGAGCTGGTAGTTCATTCACCAGGCCAGGCCAGCATCTGGAGTAGCCCATGTGGGCAGAACAGGAGACATTTTCACAGACCACCTCAGTGGTCTTGGGGTACACCGCTTCCCTATCCGGGAATCAGTGTGTCAGCCCTGCGTGACCTAAGGTCAATTATTAATAAATGCATTGCACTCCCCCAGTGTGTGTGTGTGTGTGTGTGTGTGTGTGTGTGTGTGGGTGGGTGGGTGTGTGGGTGTGTATGTGTGTGTGTGTTTCCTGGTCTCTTTCTACCTTAGTTTTGCATCACTGTTTCTCACTGAGCCCGGAGCTCAGCTATTTGACTAGATTGGCTGGCCAGAAAGGTTTGGGATGCCCTGTGTTAGAGCAGGATGGAGAGCAGCTATCCAAGGATAGACACAGCCTGTCCCAGGGTGCAGGACATGTATGGTACTTGGATAGAATTAGCCTTCTCTCTCCCTTTTTATTTTTTTCCTTTGAGACAGTCTTGCTGTGTAGTCCAAGTTATTTTCAAACTCGAGACTGTCCTGCACTAGCCACAGCCACAGGTGTGTGTCTTTTTCCTTACTAAAATGGCCAGAATACTGCTGCCAAAATACCCACTCAGGCCTGGAGGTTTATTCAACTCTACAGGTTATACCGCTGCAGTGACTCCTGCCCAGTGTGCCCCAAGCAAGGGGACATTCAAGATGGAGACTGTGCTCTGGGAAAATGGAGCCCAGCTTAGAGGGTGGCAACTGTACATGGGAGGTTCTTTTCCTCCCATCTTCCCTCCCAGGCTGAAGAAAGCCCCACAGAAATATTGGAGGGCACACCCCTCCCTTCCCAAACATCATCATTCTGTAACTACTGCCTGAAAGCATAATGTCCACCAGATGGCGCTGGTTCTCTGTGTTTTCTTTTTGACTTCCGGTTGAGTATTGAAAGTGCCAGCAGGATTCATGACCAAGGGTAGAGGTTCAGGATTTGCACACACACACACACACACACACACACACACACACACACACACACACACACACACACAAAGATTGGCAAGAAAAATGAAGAATAACGATGTTTTTGATTTTTTTATTTTGGTTTGGTTTTGGGGGATTGTTTTGTTTTGTTTTTCGAGACTGGGTTTCTCTGTATTGCTTTGAACCTGTCCTGGAACTAGCTCTGTAGACCAGGTTGGTCTCGAACTCACAGAGATCCACCTACCTCTGCCTCCCGGATACTGGGACTAAAGGCGTGTGCCACCAATGCCGGGCTGGTTTTTTTTTTTTTTTAAAGACATGGTTTCTCTGACTGTCCTGGACTTGCTCTATAGACCAAGCTGGCCTCAAACTCACAGAGATGCGCCTGCCTCTGCCTCCCAAGTGCTGCGATTAAAAGTGTGTGCTACCCCTGCCAGACATGTTTTTGTTTTTAGATAAAGTGTCTCACTATCTCATTGTCCTCCAGCCTCAGCCCTCTAAAGTGCAAATATAGGCATGCAATTCTTGCAGAGACCATTATTTCCCTTTTCTTTCTTTTGAAACAGGGTGTCACTATGTAGCTGAGGCTGGCCTTGAATACCTGATCATCCTGCCTCTGGCTCTGGAAGGTGGGAATTTCATGTATGAGCCACCATGTTCAGCCACTGGAGCCTCCATCCTTATCTGAGGTGTGATAGGGTAAGGTACTGGGTGAGCATCATGAAAGTACTTTGGGATGCAATGTGAGTTGGGTTGACAAGATGCCCCTGCTGCATGTGGCCCCTTCTATCCTTAAATGCCTGTTTTAAGACAAGAGAAAAATTTAAAGTATTGAAATAAGAATAGAAAGACAGTCCCATCCCATGTCCCACCACCCCCCCTCCCATGCACACACGCACACACATACACACACCAGTCAGGGACTAATCTAGAGCCTGTGTTTCAAGGTGTTCTCCACAGCTAACAAACAAAAGCAAGCTGAAGCTACTGAAACAGGGTGCAGACAGCTGCTCCGATTGTGGAGCTGAGATCTGGCTAAGGACCTGAGTGACAGCTCCATGAACTTGAGACCTTTGGGCCACTCTAGGCTTCAGGTTTCATGATCTGTAGAAAGCTGAGAGTAGGGGAACACTCTTTGTGTAGTGCTAAACCATGCAAAGATATTTCATGTAAGCATAAAATTCCCATGACGATCTATTATACTTTCTTACAAATGGGAAAACAAACACCAACAGGTTAATTTGTTCAAAGTCAAAGGGCTAGCAAATGATAGACTGTGGTTTGAGGGCAAAGTGTAACTAGAGCTGTTGCCAGCCAGCATTAAGGACTAACCACTACAGAACAGCACCCTTGCTGAAGCTACATCATGGTCCTTCCTGCTCAATCCTCCCAAGATTCAGAACCGTTGGCAACTCTCTGAAGGCTCATAAAAGGGTCACTTTTCACATTCCTTGAAGGCAATTCAAAAGCTTCCTGAAAGTAGACTGGGAACGATAGGGAGATAGGGATCGCAGTGAGACTTCCTAATCTTCAGTTGGGTGGGACAGGGGGAATTCAGAGAGCACAAAGAGTCCCAAGATGAAAGGACAGGAATTTAGCAAAAAAGCTGGTTTTTAACCTTTGTGAGGGTCCCCTCTGCAATCATCTCCGTTCCCAATTTCAATAAAGGCTGAGTTAGGAGAGAGAGAACGGAAAACAAGTCTTTCCTGAGAGTTTTCTCTTGGGGCGCTCTGCTCTGTTCGGGTGAGAATTCAGAGCCTGTATTCCCAGCTTCTATCTGTCAACCTCCTGCGCGATCTCGCGCACTGTCCTGGCCTCTCTTTGTCCCTCTCCATCTGGGCGTCTCTCGGGCAGACTGCAGTCTCACGGCCGCCCGCGCCCGCGCCCGCGCCCGCACCGGCACCGGCGCCCGCCCGACTGTCCCCGCCTCGCGCCTCCCCCGCGGCCCCGCCCGCCAGCTCTCGCTTGCGCGCACACACTCTCTCTCTTTCGCTGTCTCTCGCAGGCAGATTTATGGTCAGCCCAGAGACTCTCATTGGCCGAACGCTGACAGGACTTGATTTAACGCCACCTCTCATTGGCTGTCCTTGACAGGCCGATTTACGAGTCGAGTTGCCATTGGCCCAGCGGCCTCGGCTCTGATTTACGGCTTGGTGGGCGCCGAGGGGAGTGGGGCGCGGCTGGGAGCGAAGCCGGGCGCCCCTCCCCCGCGTCCTCGCGTGCTCGCCGCGCGTACCCGCCGCGCCACGTCGGGAGCGGCTCTGCGAGCCCTGGGCTGAGACCCGCAGGCAACTGGCGGGCTCGAGGGCGGCGGCGCGCGGCCCGTGGGAGCTCTGTGGTGTTTGTTGCGCGGGACCCTTCCCACCCCCCCTCCATCCCCGCTTAGATTTACGAGCTCAGGCTCGGCCTTCAGGAATTAGGAATATTTATGCTTCTTTGAAAGTGAGGTTTGGAGGGTGATAAATAAGGGGCCGTTGGGGTGCGGTGGGGGCTCCTGTTTCGGACACGGCCACTTTCCCAAGGACCCCACCAGCAGCTCCCTCTAATCTCAAACCAGAGGGAGCTCCGGGGCTGTGGGTGGTGCGCCTCCGATGCCGGTAAGAGAGTTAGAATGGTTCGGCCCTTGAGAGCCCCCTCCGATGCCTGCAGAGTTGTGCAGCAGATAGGATGGATGGAAGGCAGATAAGGGAGGAACTTTGTGAGCATCCTGTCGTTCTTGGAGACCCTGGAGGACAGTTTACAGCCTTTCTGCAGTGGACTGGGAGAAGTCTGCTGTTCATATGCCTCTAAGCTCAGTTGCTGAGGAATGAATGGTGGAAAGGAGCTAGCAAGCAGGTTTTCAGGGGTTGACATCTCCCTCGCAGAGAAGGGATTTGAAATTTCCCACCGAGCCCGCAGCCTGGATCCTTGGGAAAGGAGGCCCAGTGCATTTCCTAGGGGCTCCCGTTCCCGACCTGTCCACCCCCACCCCACTGCTGGCTGAGAATTAAAAACACTCCTAACCTGGGCCTCCAGGAAATGGGGCGGGGGGGGGTTGCCTAAGGGTCCACATGTTTCCTCCAGTCCTCAACCCCTGGCCAGCAGCGTCTTTGCTGTAGGGTTGAGGAGGTAGCAGACAAAGGATAGGGGCCATGACATAAGGAAGGTCTACAGAGAACTGGGGAAATCACCCTGCCCCCACCCATGCTTGGGTGACACTGGCCTCAGCAAGGATGTCCACAGCATACATATACACAGGCACTAACTTGCTGGCTGGCCCCACCTCCCCCAGTGAGAGGAGGGAAAGAGAAGGGTCTAGACTGGCCCTTTAAGAGCCACTTAGGGTCAGAAAGCCTGGCCTGCAGAGAGAGGAAGGAGCTGATGTCAGAAGACGGATGGGCAGCTAGATGGGGATTGATGCTAATGGGGGAGTTAAAGCTAAGTACCCAGACACTCAGAGGGCAAAACTGCAGATCTGTCTTCCTTATGCTCACCTCCCCCCAACACCAAGGCTGTAAATCTGCCTCCTCAATCGAGGGAAGGGGGAGTAAGGAAAAGATGGGATCTTCTCTCTTTTCCTATCCCCTCCTAATTCTTTTGTTTTCTCCCAATCTATTACCCTTCCCAGTAAAATTTCCAACTCCTAGCATTTCATCAAAAAGCAAGACAATGCTTGCTCCTTGTAGAGGAGTCTGAGAGCAGACACAAAGTTTTCCCTCATCAGTCCTGGGTAGGAATGGGTTGCTGGGTCTGAGGTGAAGGCTCAGTGGTCCTTCCACCATGCTCTTGCTTGGGTTTTACTCTAGTGTCAGTCCGTCTCTGCAAACAGCAGGTTAAGGCAGGAAGCAGGGTGTTGGATTCTAGTAGGGGTACCAAGACTTTGGAGGGGCCTCCAAGGATAGCTAGCAGCTAGTGGGGAGTTCAGGATCCACCCACAGTCTGGGTTCTCAGAACCTCTTGGTTCATACCAGCCTCTCCTCCAGCACATCCTGTCTGCTGAGTAGGCAATCTTAGGCCAACTGTGTTTGCTTCAAAGGTAGTTTTCCCTGCCCCTTGAGTGCCATCTCAGGGGAGAACCCTGGGGACAGAGCTGCTAACCCCTAGCCAATCCTGCTGCTTTACCTTCAGGTAGGACAGTGCCTCCTGTCTTTCAAGACCTCTGTTTCCCTTCCTGCTGGTGATCTGATGGGGCCTGCCATGTGAGGGCCCTCTCTATATTAGAAAGCAGTTCTCTGTACCATATCCGGCAGCCTCCTCCCTGATCTTCCTAACCCACGAAACAACTGGAGGCCTGATTGCCTCTGGTTTCTAGTCCCACTCAAAATCCATGAGAATGGCACTGTGACATGAATCTCATCAGTTCCCCTCTCAAATTTTCCTTTAGAGGCCAAAAATTGCCTCAGGGGCATCTTCCCTGTTTTCAGAGAAAAGGAAGAGAGCAAGGCTGAGTAAGAACACTGGGGGTTATGGTCAGGAGCCAGGAAAGCCCAGCCTTCCAGCTTCTTGTTTCCGGCCCAGCATCCCCTCTCATCTCAGGGAGGTCAGCCCTGCTCTCTGGCTGCTTCTCTACACTGGTAATAAATCCTGTCTTTGTCTCCCCTCTGACCCAAGCCCCAGGCAGGCTGAGGGTCAGAGTCTGAGAGTCTGGGGGAGGGGTTGCTGCAGAGGGGGGGACAGACAAGAAGAGTGGGAGGAGAAGATGGACAGGAGCAGCTGGTGGGCAGCCATGAGGTGTTCAGCGAGGGGATGGGGCCTTCTGATTATGCGGTGGATCATGAACATTCCAGCAGGCTTGTATTCCAAGTGAGAAAGCCAGGGTTCCCGAGAAGATGTGGAAGTACCTTCAGAATGGTTCCTGGAGCATCAAGACCCCAGGGACATGGTGTGAGGTGCCTCAAAGAAAGAGGCTGCTAAAAGGATAATATTGTGGACATCGTCCTTTTCAGCACCTCAGGCCCCTACATACATGTGCACAAACATGATTTATGACCTGCCAGCATAAGGCAGCCCAGGAGAGCTGGCCTGCCCTCTCCTGGCCCCTGCCCAGCAGCATTTTCTTGCTGAGTCTTTTCCTGCCTCCATCTCCATTCTCTTCCTCTGCTCTAGCCCCCTCACTTTCTTTGTATAGTTCCTCTTCCAGTTGTCAATTCACTTACTTCCCTAGGCCTCTGCCTCTGTGGGTCACTGCTTCTCTCTCCTTCTTACGCTCCTCCCCTTCCCTTACTTCCTTGGACTCTCCATGTGTCCAGCCTCTGACAGACACTGCCATCCTCCTGCCTCAGGTCTACCATGATCCCTGTTGCAACCCAACAGACTTTGGGTGTCAGCTTACAAGGACAGATGGGAGGAAAACAGGTTCTCCATGGCTCCCTGCTTTAGTGGGTTCCTAGTGGGTCCTGCTATGGCCAGGAAGAGGAGAACAGGGTGCGTGGAAGGTGAGCAGAGACTGATGAGCCACTAAAGGAGAGCAGAAAAGGACCTCAGGAGCCCCAGACAGACAGGGGGAGGACACCAAAGGACAAACACCAAAGAAAGAAGGGCAAGGACTTGGAGTTTCTGAGTGTCTGGGATCGGGCTGAAGGGGCACCTGAAACACAGATGGAAACACAAGGCCCAGAGACCCAACCAGAGAAGTGAAACTTCTTCAACGTCCACAGCCCCAGTCATGGTCTCTGTCTACCTAGGAACTTCTCAGAGGCCCAGCCCTCTGCCTCTAGTTCTGGAATGCTGGCCCCATTCTGTTAGCCCACTCCACTCCCGTCCATCCCCTGTTGAGAATGACATCAGTTCTGGCTGCCACTGTCCTCAGTCGTGCTGTTGATTTCTCTCCCAGAGGTGCAGCAAGGGTGTCACCCTTCACCCACCCATTCCTTCTTCAGTCAGAGAGGGAGCCAGAGCTCCCCCAGCCCAGGGCCCTGCCGTCCGAGAGAGAGAGAGAGAGAGAGAGAGAGAGAGAGAGAGAGAGAGAGAGAGAGAGAGGGAGGGAGCACGCTGAAGGGGGCACTTGAGGAGGAGGAGGGCTGCAGCAGTAAATCACTCTGTGGGGGGCTCCCTCTGCCTGAGCTCAGTGGGGTGGGGAAAAGAGAGACAGCGGATAGGGGCAGCATGGGGAATCGCCACATCTGGCAGGCAGGTGTCTGGCACTGTTCAGACTGTAGTCTCTTTCCCAGCCAAAGGGGAGAAAGGGAGGAGGGCCTCCTAGAATCCCCTGGGGAAGAGGGAAAGGTTCACAAACCAGACAGTCCAAGCCCCTGCTGTGTCTGTTTTAGTCGATGCTAAGGATGAGTTTGCAGAGTCCGAAAGAAAGTCACTGGCCAAAGGACTAGGTAGGCAGGAGCATCAACATTTCAGTTCTGCTGGGAAACAGAAGACTGGAGAAACAAGCTCAGGGAATTCAGGATTTGAGACCTGAACGGAAAGAACTACATTCTCATGCTGTATCTGCTCACCAGGCCTCAACTCCTTAAAATTCTGCTCTCCTTAGCCAAAGGCTACACAGGGTCATGAGAAGCAGGTTAGGGGCTAAAGCTGGGCATTGCTTCTCACAGATCAGACAGCCAAAGATAGAGGGCATCATAGCTCTTCTGCCACGGGTCCTCCAGCTTCCAGCGCAAGGACCAAGCAAGGATGGTCTAGTACATAGCTTTCTATTTGTCTAGGTAGATCATGGGCCCAGGTGCTTCACAGCTGCTGAACCGAGTCCCAGGTTTTCACAGAGGAGGAAGGACTGTTCACACCATAGTCTTCATGCCCTGCAGAGGCTTTCTTCCCATTCTGCCTCCTTCCTCCTTCCCATATCTTTGCCTGTTCAGGATTTGCAGGCCCATGTCAGAACAGTAGAGGTGACTGAGGAGACCCTTCAAATCTCAGTGGAGAGGAGGAGTCCCCACACTGCCCCCTCCTTAAAATCCTGCAGAGGAAGGGGGAAAGAAAACCAAAGCATTCTCCTGTCGCCGCAGCAACCATAAAACCCCTGGCTAAATCCATCTTGTGAGCTCACCGCCCCATTAAGATGCAGGGCCAGGCTCTACGCCAGCCCAGCCACATTCATTTGTGCGAATAAAGGTGGAGGAGGGGGAGGGGAGCAGGCTCTGGAGGGACGGGGAAATGGCGAGAAGAGGTTATTTACACCACCGTCCTGACCTTCTGGAGCAGCACCGGCTCCGATAAATAACCCGCTCAGCGCCGTTTCAGAGGAATGGGAGGTGCGGGAAGGGAGTAGGGGCTGGAGGAAAGCCCCCACGCAGGTGCGCGTCTCCGGGTTACTAATGGCTGAGGCGGGAGCAGGCAGCTGGCTTTGGGGGTGTGTGGGGGAGAACTCAGTTCCCTGAGTCTCCCACTGAGAAAATACCATCCCCACCCCACCCCTGGCGCCAATTTCCAGGCGAGGGGACCGAGAGATGCCAAGGAGGCAAACAGCCCCGTAAATTAGGGGTAGGAGGGAGTGCTGGGGAGTCTCTGAGGTAGGAAGAAATATTATAGGGGGGGGGGTTGGAGGAACAGGAATAGCTGCCAAAACAGGGAAGAACAGAAACATCACACAAAGGCAGTTTGGAAGAGATTCACTTTATTCGCCTGAAGCACAGCAGCACACAAGGTGGACTCCGCCTGACTCCATTTCTTGAAGAGGCTGCCTCCAGTCTGCCCGCTTCAGCCAATGCAGAGGGCAGAATGCTTGCTCGGAAACGTTTTTCTAAGACGTTTTCACAGAGGTGTAGGGTCAAGGGGCAACATTACATCCAAGAACGGGAATCCAAGCCCTGGAGGAAAGGGGCTGCACCAGAACCCCGCTTCCAGGGAAGGCTGAGGCAGAGAGGGAGGGCTCAACTGCAGATTGCAGAACCAAGGCAGTGGAATGTGAGTGAGAGCTGAGAAGGCCCGGATCATCGAGGCCCCTTCCTTCCCAGGGAGACTACTGTAGTTTTAGTTTCAAGGTCTGGCTTTGCTCCAGGATACCAGAGGCCACACCAGGCAATGACCTCACAGGTGATGCAGGCCGAGGTACGGTACAGACCTAGAGTGGGATGTTCTCATGTGCAGACACAGCAGCTTTGAAGCTGAAGGGCCAGATCATGGTGGAGGCTACACTGTATAAGTTCAGAGGAATTTAAGTCACTGTTCCTCTGCAGATCTGTCCCCCTCCCATAAGCCATTCCTAATCTCTTCCAAGGCAGAGGACAGGGCAGCAGGAAGGAGAAGCTGCTGTGGCAAAGATGCGCAGCCCCTGCCACTGCACACCCACTTGTGTTGAAGGAAGGTGTCCTCCCTTTGCTGGACACATGTGCTGCTGGGATGAGGGCCCTTAAGGCACAGGGAGGAAAACACTCAGCACATTCTTTCTCCTGCTTTGATCTTAAGTAAGCCATAGAAAAGGGCCAAGGAACTAGGAGAGAATGTGGGGGTAGGGGACCAGGGTAGCAGGAAGAGGATGTTTCCCCTGCCTCATTCTAACCTGCCCTTGAGAGGGAAGGTAGGGAGAGGGGGACCCTAGAAAGGATAGAGGTGCAAGGGCCCACTGTGATTCTCCAAGATGACCCTAAGAACATCTGTTGGGGGCCTGGATAAGAAGTCACAGCAGATGTGGGTTTTTGAGGGGCAAGGAACTGGGCACAGAGCATCTTCACCGAAGGAGGGACCACTTGATCTGTTCTTTTGCTGACTGTAGCACCTGCAGAGACAAAGGCAGCACTGAGGGGGGTTTGCACGCCTCGGGGAGTGAGCAGGCTGAGGCTCTCCTTCCCCACACTTGCCTTCCCTCTCCTTAGAAGAACTGGGGATAGAAAATCCCAAGGGTGGAGGAATAGGAGGAAGCTCTCTAAGGCCCTAGAGGGTTGTCAGTTTGGGAAATTCCCCCCGAATTCAAATCCACTGGGGGGATGAAGAGAGAAGAGGTATACCTGGGAGGAAAGAAAAAAAAAAAAAAAAAAAAAAGCTGGGGGTTATTGGACACAGTTATAAAGAGGGGATCATACATCCAGAAGGTGAGGATTCCTAGTGAGCAAACCAAGAACCACTCCCTTGTAGGCCCCCAACGTAGGTAGACAGTCTATCTGCAGTCAAGGAGGAAGAGTGGATCTGCAAAGCCTGCACATTCCAGAATATGCATTTCCAGCTCAGCCCGCATTTGAATAATAAGAAGAGGAGAGTGTGCTCACATGCACACAGACCATCTGCTTAAGGCAAGCCTCTGCTGGGGAATAAATCACTGACTGAGGTATCTGGCAGGGAAGGTTTGAAGGGTACAGAGAGCAAGGCTGACAATCATGATCACAGTAAAAGGAGACAGTGGGGGTTGAGGACACTGTTCAATGAGTCCCCGTGCTCTGGAATAAGAGGGAGCCAGGGGACCTCACTGAGTGTGAGGTCTCAATTCAGACTAGGCAGTTGGGAGTTCTTGTTAGTTAGTCTCTGTAGTAAAGTAACCCTGTCCATGTGGAGAGGAATGAAGAGAGTCATACCTGAGACACGGTCTGCTCTGTAAGGGGGACGTCTTCACCCTGAATATAGAGATAAGCACTTAGACTGGAGCCTGGTACAGGAAGAAGTGTTCCTTTAAACCAAAGCAAAGGCAAATGTCCTAAAAACTTCTCAGTCCCTTCTTCCAAAGACTGAGCCACAATTTTACTTGGCCAGAGGGACTATGAACACAAAAGGGTCATTTTATCCATCCTCCACCTAAAGGCAGGATGACTTCTTAAAAGATTTATTTCATTCCAAGTAATCAGCAGGATATCTGATCCTTACCTCCCTCAACTCTGGGGTGGGGGACCTGATTCCCTAGTCAGAGAAGACCTTCCCTGAATATCAATATGGAGGGGGTGGTGGAGGGAGCCAGGGGCAGCTTAATGGATCCTGCAAGGCCTGATGGGTAATGACGGCATGTTAATTTGAAGAAATAAACTGCTGCAACAGCAGCCTGAGAAGGGGAAGGGGGGAAGCCAGCGTGGGGGGGACCCTCTCTCTTGCCACATAGAGACATATGTTAGAGGAGAAGATTAAACTATGCAAATGGAGCCCACAGCAGTTAAGGGAGAAAACTTCCCATTACCCAGCACTGGCAGCCTTCACTCTGTGGAGGTCAGACCTGGGACACTCTGGGAACTGGAAGCCCTACTCTGTTCAGACATCTCTGCACCATACAATTCACAGGTGGATTCTCTACTCACTATCATCTTGCTGAGCAGACACAAAGCTTCCTACCATTAACTCAAAGACCCCTTTCTGGAGTCACTAGCACCAAAGAGAGCTGAGGTGCTGGCAAATAAGTACTTCCTGAGGGTTCTGTCGACTAAGACAGGAAAAGCACTCCAATGCCTCTGATGACTGGATCCATTCTCAAAGAAAACAATAAGCCAACCTCAAGCCCCTCTATAGTTTCGGAACCATGAATATTAAGGTTTCTTTTACTTCTTTGTTCATTCAATGTTTACATTCAAGTGCCCATTTTGTGCAAAGACCATATAAAATGCTAGGTACCACGTTAGAAACATAAACAAGTTCCTCTGCTTCTCTGGTACACTGAGATGGAAAGGTCAGAAGGGTCCACGCATGTGAGAGGATAGGATGTACTTATGAGCCAGACCCTCGGCTATACTCAGCAGGCCTGGCTTGGAAGGATGTGTGGAGAGACGACGGTTGCACATTCCTGCTTACCCTCAAAGCCACCCGGTGCACCACTTGCTGGGGGTCACTCTCTAGGATCACCCTACAAACACAAAGAAGATCATTGGTCAGGATCACTGGCTGGTCAGCCCACTTGACTTGGAACAGAGGCAGCCACCTCCCTTCCCCACTTCAAATGTAGGCAGGACTGAGAACTTACCCTCCATCCACAATTTCATCCACAGCCAAAAAGAGCCCCTCCATATTCTCCAACAGCGCTCGCTTTTCTACATTTTTCCTAAATCCCCAAAAGAAGAGAAAAATCAGGTTGTTTTGTGTGAAAGTAATGTTGGGCCTCTACCTGAATAGAGGATCCTAAACTAGACCAGTAACTGGCTCCATTATCCACACCAAAAAGTAAGGTAAAGAGCCCCTGAGGTATAGTGATAAGAATGTCTAGAAAGGGAGTCCAAACAGCCAACTTCTAACTCCTAGCTCATTATCCAGTTGCTGCTGCTGCTGAAGCTGCATGTAAAAGAAACAAACAAGCAAACAAAAACACAGCTCACAATCTGGAATTGGTGTTGGTGGAAGGTGTGGAATGCAAATCCTATCTGCATTGGGGCTCTGACAAACTTCTCAAGTCTCTCTGTCTCTCCCCTCCCCCACAGTCTTTTCAAACCATAAAACAAAGGCAAGGAGAGACTAGGAACAGTCCGGGGCTGCATCCACCAGCCACAGATCCGGTGGTTTGTGCATGTGGCCTGTCACATCCGTCAGTACGACTCTTTTCTCTAGATTACCCGAAATGAAGTCTATTCATTCACCTGGCTGGGAAATAAATCATCCCCCTTCCTGAGGAAACCTGAGCCTTTAGCCTGCTGGTTTGTGGGCGGAGAGCTCCTGCTGTTCTACTCCGGATGGATTTCTAAAATGCGTTCACTTAGGAGCTGATGTGGGTTAAGTTCAGAGCCTCGAATGTTTTCAGAGAAAGTATCTTCTATTTTCTCTTGCTTGTGTGCATGGGAACAGAGGGCTACTGGGAGGTATAGAGGGCAAAGAGCACAGTGTACAGGGGAAGACTTTGGCTGGTAATGGTTAATGTTTCCTCCATTCCCAAGGTAGGGATGTTTCACCCGGGACATTCCTCTTGTCCTTCCCAGACTTCAACAGCAGAGGACAAAGCCTAGGAAAACACCCGGGGGCTCAGAACACTGTCAGAATCACTGGATATGACAAGAGTAGGCACAGGCCACCATGATGCATGTCTGTACTCCCAGTTACTCCAGAGGCTGAAGCAGGGATTACATGGTCAGGGGCTGCCTGGGCTACAGCACAGTGAGACTTTGTCTTAAATTAAAAGAAAAAACACAATAAAAGGTTTGGTGAGTGGCTTGGTGGTAGAACAGTTGCCTACCAGTCATTAGTACAGCCAACGGGAGAGGCAGGAAAGGGAGAGAGAATTCTATTCTCCCCTAGTAAGGGACTCTCCTTCATCATTTAGTAAAAGGATCACTCCAAATGAGGACGATACTCTCCACTACCCACCCCAGAGAGTTGCCCACAAATAGCAAGCCCATTTCTTATATTTTTGGTTGTGAGCCTCGCCTTTAACGGCTAAGCCACAAGCCCAATTTCTTACACTGAACTACTTCTCCCACGTGGCTCTCATTTCCCAGATTCCTGGCCCTAAGGGATAGGTACTTTCTCTTCCAAATTTAAACAGAATGTCTGCTCACCTCAGCATCTGGCTCAAGGAGTCAAAGAGGCAATTCAGAACGGCCATAAGCATCAACTGTTAAGAAAGGAGACAGAAGGTTCAAGGCCCTAAAACTGCTACCCAAAGCAAAACCCTCCACTTTATTCCTCTGCAAAATGCACAGGCTTCCACAAATGACCAGACATAATGTGAAGTGCAAACACAACAGCAAGAGAACTATGGTTTTTCATATTCTCATAGAAGCTAATTCTGCTAATTAACAATTCCACAAGTGAAGGTTTCTTTCTTTCTCTCTCTCTCTCTTTTTTTTTTTTTTTTTTTTTTTTTTTTTTGAGACAGGGCTTCTCTGTATAGCCTTGGCTGTCCTGGACTAGCTCTGTAAACCAAGCTGGCCTCAGACTCAGAGGTTTGCCTGCCTGCTGGGATTAAATGCACCAGCACCACTCAGCTAAGTGGAGGTTTCTTTAAGGTAGAAGTTCAAACAGAACTTTGCTGACATAGTCCTCAAGGTATCTTAATCCTCTCTGTTTGCTTTTTATTAATTAAAGATTTATTTTTATTTGTGTGTGTATGCCACATGTGTACAGGTGCCCAGAGGCCAGAAGAGGGCATTGGATTCCCCTGGAGCAGGCCTTACAGATAGTTGTGAGCTGCTCAACATGGATGATAGGAACCAAACTCAAGTCCTCTGAAAGAACAACAAGCAATTGTTGTATTTTTTAGTTTTTTGTGGTAGTGTCCCACATTGCTTAGGTTGGTCTTCAACTAGCTATATAACTGAAGACGAATTCTGAATCCCTAACTATACTTCCCAAGCGATGGGATCATAGGTGTACACTGTCATGCCTCTCTGCCTCTATGTTTCTTTAAAAGCTAGTTTATTTAATGTATGTGCATGTTTGTCTGAATTTATATATCTGTGTATCACATGTGTGTAGTGCCCAAATAGGCCAGAGAAAGCACTGGATCTCCTGGGACTGGAGTCAGAGACAATTGTGAGCCACATGGAAGTCAAACCCAAGTCCTCTGGAAGAACAGGCAGTGCTCTTAACAACTGAGCCATATCCAGCTCCTATCTCTGTCTTTACCAAGCTACCTGGTAGATTAGTAAAGCAAGCAAAGGCTGAGGCCAGAGGAAGGTGGCAGGAGGTCCTTTTTAAAAATGTATTTATTTATTCGCATTTTATGTATGAATGCTGCTCTGTATGTATACCTACCTGCCTGCCAGAAGAGAACATTAGATCCTAGTATAGATGGTTGTGATCTACCATGTAGTTGCTGGGTATTGAACTCAGGACCTCTGGAAGAACATCCAGTGCTCATTACTGTTGAGCTATCTTTCCAGCCCACCTCCACCCCGAGGCCCTTTTAAAAAATGGTACTAGGGATCAAACCCAAGACTTCAAATTTGCTACGCACACACTCCACTACTAAGCTTAATCTCCAGCCCCAGCTTGGGCTCCTGAGTTAGAACTAGGTTTAAATCTCAGCTGATTCTACATGTGTTACCCTGAGAGAGTTAATGGGCTGAATCTCATGAAACAGCTACTTTTGTAATTTGACAAAAGCCAAATACAAGTAATTTTATATGGTTCTTTATGGTTTGGTTTCCTTGTTGGCAAAACAAAAACAGCAATGCCTCCAACCCACAGAAGTGCTGCCAAGCTTAAACGATGCACTCCACAGAGGACATGCACGACAGTGAGCGCTCAGCAGGACCTGATGGAAAATTATCTGGTGGCTTATTTACCTGTCTACACTCCCAAAAGTTGCTGTCACCTGAAACAAACAGTTTTTCCTACATACAGTCCCTCTTAACAACACTGGGAACATGGTACAGTGGCTCACACCTGGAATCTCAGCATCAGAGAGGTTAAGTCAAGAGGACGGCTGTGAGTTTGAAGGCGGTCTGAGCTACAGTGTGACACTTGTCTCAAAACCAAACAAACAAAATCTAAAACATCACTGTGTAGGAAAGGACACTAAAAAACATTCTAATTGGACATGGTGACTCATGCCTGTAATTCTAGCACCTAGAATATAGATGTGATTTGAAAACAGCCTGTTAAATAGTAAGATCCTGCCCCTTAAAAAAAAAAAAAAAAAAAAAAAAAGACCTGGGAAAACTTCCTCTTTGACTGATTCTTTGGCTAGGCCATTTTGTAAGGCTGACAGGGATCTCTAACAGACTTCTTTATGACCTTGCCAGACATCAGAGGTATGTGGCTCTCCAAAGCTCAAAACCAATGGCTGTGTCCCATCTATTGCTTCAGAAGTGACATCAGAGATAGCAAATGGGCAGATTCTCACCTCATTTTCATAGGAGCTGCCAATCACATAGAAATAGAGATCGATGCTACTTTTATAGACCACTGTCAGCCCTTCCAACAGGGCAATTTCACCTTGGGAAAGAAAGCAGAAACTGAATAGTGGGAGAAAAGGAGGCAAAACAGGAGTCCCTGTGAATCCCTGGGGACAGCTGTGAGGGCCAAGCAAAGGCCAACTGTAATGACCTCCAAGCACTAAAGCTATCTATTGTTTAGGGGTCAGCAGAAGGGACGCAGAAACTCAGGGAGTCTAAATGTGTGTTCTTGAGCCCTTCCTCCCCCACTGCACCACTTCCCTCCCTGTGTATGAGGCAGGGTATCAGCGATCCTTTGGAGGTAAAAATGCAGAGCGGTCACCTTTACAGGCTTCCATTTACCTGCCCTAATGGATGCGGTACAATAAGCAGGGCTGCAGTTAAATTTGTCAAGTGAGGCTCATAAATCCAGGGACTAGACAGGTAGCTAACAGCCAAGCTTCTAGCACGGTATTCCCGCGTGAGGTACACTCACCTCCCCATTATATTTCTGAAGAGTTTATTATATGAGGGGAGGAGGAAAAAAGAAAGAGGAGGCCGAGTCATTTTATCTTTTTCTGCAGTCCTGCTGACACCCCCTTCCCGTGCTTGTGGTTCCCCCCAACACAGGGAATAGTGAAGGAGAATGACCTACTATCTGTCCGATGGGTCTTGTTGAAAATGTTCTTCTCAAAGGCCTTCTGCTCCTTGACACTAGGGTAGGTGTCGTCATAGTACTAGTCGAAGAGAAAGGAGACAGGGTTGGGTCATCATGACTGTGAGCCCAGATGATTAGTGACTATTCTACTCTGGCATCTTGTATGTCTCCTTCAAGGCATGGGGTGGGGAAGAAATACTAAGATAGAGAAGAAAGGACTACAGAGGCAGGGAACAACAGGGAGGGAGGGAGGGGGAAGAAAGGGAAAAAGGAAGAAAAAAAGGGAGAGAAGAAGTGCTTGCTGGCAAGCTTCACAATCTGATTTGATCTCCAGAACCCACAAGGTAGGAGAGAGCCAACTTCTAAAAGTTGTTCTCTGGCCTTCTCTAACACACACACACACACACACACACACACACACACACACAAAATGTGGGGGGAAAAAAAGGAAAGGAAAGGACTGTGCTGTCATTAACCCTTCGGTCCCACATGCCATTTCTAAGACTCAGGGCAGAGACCTGTCAGCTCTCCTAAGGAAGACTTCCACCATATGCTTCCTAGGAGCTGCCCTTGTCAGGGTCAGTGCTGAAGAAAGAAGCAACACCAGTGCAGAGGTGCTTCCTCAGACTCTCCCTCAATGCAGGAAGACCAGTCCTTTGTGTGTGTGGTGAGGGGTGGGGTGGGGTGGGGTGGGGTGGGAGTGGGGGGGCTGGTTTGGTTTTTCTAGACAGGGTTTCCCTGCATAGCTCTAGCTGTCCTGGAACTCGCTTTGTAGGCCCTAATGGCCTTAAACTCAGACCTACCAGCCTCTGCCTCCTGAGTGTTCAAGTGCTAGGATTAAAGGTGTGGGCCACCGCCTGGCTGGAAGACCACTCTTACTAAGCAATGGAGAAAGGCCATACAAATCTCTTCCATAGCAAGGCAAGTCCATGCCCTATTCTCCTGCACATCTTGGCTCTTTCTGCTTGCTGAGAAGAGGGCAGTGGAGCACTTCACTGAGCCCACTCCCAAGCACTCCTAGCAAGGGGGTAAAGATGGAGGCTGCTAAATCGCCTGCTCTTTAGGGGCTAATCCGTCGCAGTCAGCTGAAGACCTATGACAGGTCTGGCATTTAGTTACTGGATAACTGTTTCCAAAGGTGTCCTGCATAGTTACATCCAATTACAGGGAGGAACAGCTGGTGAATTCTAACTAATCTCCACCTGCTGATTGATTTATGCTCTGCTCGCCCAGAGTTAATACACCAGGGACAGAAGACATTTCTACAGGAGGGGGAGAATGGAGGAGAGGGGTGTCCTTTTTCTTCTCAATCCATCCAAAGTTACAACACCTCATGGGGCACGCAGCATGGTGAGGACTACAAACTAAGGGCTACAAGTCAGAAACTGGAATACTCCCTGGACAAACTCAGGCTGAGTGACAAGGTAAGAGGGAGGGGCAGAAGGGGAAGGGGCAGATGGGACATAGACAGGCACTTCTAACATTGAGACAGTGTTTTGTTTTGGAGCTAAGGTTCTAAAGTTCTCTCCTGCCCTAAATAGGTTGACAGAGGAAGTTCAGGGTCTGAGCACAGCAGGAAAGAAGAGAGCACTCTAAGGGACAGAAGATTGCCAACTTGGATTTATCTGGAGTGGTCAAGGCAAGAGAGAAGAATTCTCAAAATCATACTCCTGAAGAATTAGAGTTAGTAGGACCAATGCCAACATTTAAGTCTCCAATGTCTCTATCCTGCTCCTAAATGAATATGAAAGGAAATCTCACCTTAGCAAAGAGTCGGTCTCCATCATTGTCCAGAATCAGGATGGCCTTGACAGTGTACAGGGAGGGCTCCTGAAGGAACATGAACACACCTTCAGTTTTGAGGGTTCCACCACTACTAGCAAGCCCATTAATACCCTTCCTTTCATGGTCCCACTGGGCTGCAAAGGGTCACACAGGGGTCTGTTTGTGTCCTCCTACTGCAGCATGGTCAGGCCCAATACCTCCCACTGAGGATAACCAAATGGAGGATGAACTGAAAACTGAGGGAGGGCTCAAAAACAGACTCAGAGAAACAGTCTGACTCATAGGCCTTCATCAAGGTAGGTCACGCTGTTATTTCCAGGTCCTAATGCCAGTCATTTTCCAAATCACAGATGGGCATGGAATGTGACCATGCTAATGAATGAGCACTCCTCATATGAAAGAAGGTTGCATATTTAGAAGTCACTGGTGTCCCAAAGCAGATGCTTAAAGCAAGCCATTCTAAACCATCCATACACAGCAGAAGGAAAGCATTGTATACACACGTGAATGCATGTATACACATACACACACCAGTTCCCTAAGACTGACACCATTCAAAAACTCAGGTATGAAACCCTTCCTCTGCTATATATGCACCATTATTACTTAGCCTGCTACAATAAAAATCAACCTGAATCTTAAGTGAGGTAAAAAGAAAAATATTTGAGAAGCCCAAGGTCCAGGAGGTAATTAACAGAGAAGTTTCTTTCACTACCAAGAATGGAACTAAAATTTAGAGGTGTGGCTCAGTGCTACAGTGCATGTTTAGTATGCAGGGGGCCCTGGGTTTAATTCCCAGCCACTCCCCTACAAAACAGAACAAAATCCCAAAATGAAACAGAATTGCTGACACTGGCTCACAAAGGCACTGCATACAGCCTCAGCTCCAATGGTTATATTTATACCTTTCCTCAACTGCAAACAGATGACTTAGGAAAAGCTGTTTTACTAAATCCCTCCCCTATCTTCACAACCTTTAGAAGGGAAAAGAAAGAGGAGTTGACATTGTGTACAGAAGGCCTCTGTCGCTCACATTATTTGAAGACCTCACCAATAAATACTTTCTGCTATTTCTTGTGCCAAGGCAAGACTGCTTTGCTTTCTTGGTCTAAGGAAACTCACCCATCTTCTAAACGCATTTAACAAAGACACAAGGCACAAGAAAGAATCATTGCAAGGATCCAGAAATAGCAGCCATATAGAGGTAAAGCAAGGTTCCAGGATGGGTGGGGCTCCATGTAGAAAAGCAACCCCAGCTCAAGAGAAGTGGGGATTAACCCAGGTTTTTCTAACATTTATTTACTTATTATTTTATAGGGTCTCTCAATATGTAGTTCTGGCTGGCCACAAATCCACAAGATCCATCTGCCTCTGCCTCCTAAATGCCATCACTTACATTATTATTTTATGTGTATAGGTGTTTTGTCTACATGTATTGTTTGTGCACCACTTATATGGTTAGTGCCCTTGGAGACCAGAAGAGAGTATCCCTAAAACTAGAATTACAGTTGCTATGTGGGTGCTAGAATTGAACTCCAGTCCTTTATAAAAGAAGCCAGTGCCTGTTTAAAATTATTTATTTATTTATTTAGTTTTGAGACAGTGTCTCACTATGTGCCTCTGGCTGTCCTGAAACTTTGTAAACCAGGCTGTCCTTAAACTCACAAAGATCCCATCTGCCTTTGCTTCCCCAGTGCTGGAATTAAAGGTGTTTACCACTATACCACCCAGTTTAAAAGCCAGTGTGTTGTTTCTCTGTGTAGACCTGGCTGACCTCAAACTCAGAGATCCACCTGTCTCTACCTCTGAAGTTGCTGTGATTAAAGACACATGCTATCATTGCCTAGCAAAAGTCAGTACTCTTAACTGCTGACCTCTCTCTCCAGATCACTATAACCCAGTCTTTTGAAAATGGGATAAGAGGGCTGGAGAATGGCTCATCAGTTAAGAACACTGACCTGGGTTCAATTCCCAACATCCACACACAAGCTAACAACTGCCTGTAACTCCTGTTCCACAGGATCTGACACCCTCACACAGACACATGCAAGCAAAACACCAATGCACAGAAAAATAAAATAAATTAAAAGGAGGAGGAGGGATAAGAGCCAGGTAATGGTGGCACACACCTTTAGTCCCAGAACTTGGGTGGCAGAGGCAGAGGCAGAGGCAGAGAGATCTCTGGGTTAAAGGCCATCCTGCTCTACAGAGTTCCAGGTCAGCCAGGGTTGTTACACAGAAAAACTCTGTCTCAAAAAAGAAAAAGAAAATGACCTACGAAATCTAAGCTTTGTTTTCCAGAGCAATGACTGGCACATTCTGAATTCTCAACATTTGTTCAAAATTGAGAGTAAAATTAAAAAAGAAATCTCTTGTGCCGATGTTCTAGAACTGGATTATTACAGTTAAGTGGATTTTATAATGAGACTATTTTGGGGTGATATTATCACCAACCTACCCTCTCCTCTGACACACTTAAAACTGCCCACCCCAGACACACTGTTCTCTAGAATTACAGACAGGAGCACCTCCTCTGCAACCGGGGAACTGTGCTGTCTGGAAGTCTTCTTAGTCTAAAAAGCTCCACACAGAAAGATCACCACACAGAGTAGGCTCTGTTCTATAGTAACTTGGCTGCCCAAGTACCAAAATCGAGCCCTCAATGGGAATGAGTTTCCTTAATAGACAAAAAGGGCCAATAGAGGGAAATGGTTATATGCCCCTCCATCCACACTCACGGCAACCTTAGAGGACTAGCTGCCCACAAATTGAAATTGGACCTTAATCTGGCATTTGTGACTATTCTTACAGCCAGAGTTTGGCATTCCAGAAAGAAATGGGAGTACAATCCCCCCACCCCCACCCCATCGAATGCCAAAATCCCTAATGGCCACCTGCCAAGTAGGAGAGCCAACATTCTTGTGGCCAACACTGTCTAAGCACCTAAACAGCCACACTGACAACTGAGAAACATAGCCCAGGGATCTGCTCCTGGCTCTTTTCACTGGCTTCCTAGACAATACAACCAAAGAACCTCAAAACAGAAACAACACAGAGTCTTCTTGGGCAGGATAAAAGACAGGGTAAGGAGAAGGAGACCAGCTTTCAGGCACTAAGGTTCTGGAACAGAGGGAAGGCAGGACAAAGATCTGATCATTTCAGATTTGCAAAAGAGAGGCCCCAACAAGGAAAGCTGAGGGCTTAGGCAGGGGAAGGAATGCCAATAGAAGGCATCAATCTGCTCCAGTAGAGCCAGCTCTCCTTACTTCTCTTACTACCTCCTAACTCAGGCTGGGCCCTCTTCACTCTATGGCCTTCATCTCTCAGGAGTGGGGAAGCCTGAGAGTTTCCTTCATATCATAAAACCAGTCAGTTTAAAGGCTCCAGAAGCCATTACTGATAATATAATTTCATTCCAAGTTTTGCAAAGGGCACATTTATAAATAACTCCCAGATACTGAGAATGAGCTCCCAGTACAATGGACTAGGCTTTGACCTTGTAATACATTAAATGCTTACTCTCGAAAAAGACCCTACAATCTTAGGACCATACTCAAAGGACTGGAAAGATCTATTCTTCCCTCTCACTTCCCAAATGGGCAGCTGCTAGAAAGCTTTCGAGACAAAGTTCTGTGATGCACTGACTTTCAGAGCCACAGCCTGAGTGTATAACAGAACTTCACCTCAAATGCTAATAGTACCTGGAAATGATGGATAGGCAGACTGGCTTGTGGGAGGATAGATTTTCATGTCTGCTTTTATTATCAAGAAAACTAGAAAGCTGTCCTCATCCTCAGGACAGCTGAAATGCCATCCAACAAGCAACTAGGCTGCTGCAAAAAGCTGTCTGATCTCAATCAGGGACTCATGAAGCCTGGCTGAAAAATCAAGTCTGGGAGGCCCACAACCCATACTGGGAGGGCTAGAGGGAGAAGAGTCCTTTCCAGTGCTGCCCTCTGTGGGCCTTCTTGCTGACTTGTAGCCTAAAGCAATCGGTGCCAGAAAGCCAGTTGTTTTAGGCCCAAGCTATTTGGGTAGAGTGTTTGCCTAAGGTGTGAGACTCTGTGTTCAACCACACACACAAATCAAAACAAAGAAAAACAACAACAACAAAAGAACCCCTACCAAACTCTATTTATGTGTACTTTGTATTTTAAGTAAAACTAATAGGAATAGGTTCAGAAAAGAAAACATGGAAAGCTAACAGTAGCGGCACATATAGCCTAGAATGCAGGTAGTAGAAACAGAAGGGTCAGAAGTTCAAGGTCATCCTCAGCAACTTGGCAAACTCTAGGACAGCTGGGACAAATAACCTTGTCTCAAAACAAGTACAAACAACAATAAACTATGGAATTAAGTCTATTGGCAATATATAAACGGTAAGAGAATACTTGGGTAAGATTTTTGTATGACACCAAAAAGCTTGGAGGAACAAAGTGTAGAACAAGAAACAGAATATTTTAGAACTATGACTATTTGATTCACTTAGGTGACAAAACCAAAAGGCCTAAGAATCAGAAGGGATGGCTCAGAAGTTAAGAGTATTTGCTTCTCCTACCTACACAGGACTCAGGTTCAGGCCTCAGCTCCCAGTTTGGGGGGTGAGGGAGTGGGGTGACACCATCCTCTGATCTCTAAAAGTACTGCATGCACATGGTTTCCAAGTTTGTGTGAAGACAACACTTGTACATATAAAATAAAATAAAATTTGAAAAAAGAAATCTGGTTGAGATCCCTGGAAAGTTCTTCATTCTCTACTTACAAAGATATTCTTGGGGCCATAGCTAAAGGGGGAGGGGTGCCTTGGCTTAGCAATGCATGTGACCAATTAAAAACTGTAACAAAGCTGGGCGGTGGTAGAGTACACCTTCAGTCCCAGCATTCAGGAGGTAGAGGCAAGCAGATCTCTGTGAGTTCAAGGCCAGCCTGGTCTACTTTGTTCCAGGACATCCAAGGCTTCACAGAGAAAACCTGTCTCAAAAAACAAAAACAAGAACAAAAAAAAAAAAAAAAAAAAAAAAAAAAAAAAAAAGAAAGAAAAGAAG